TTTTCTCATCGAAAATATAAATTTTTCAACATATTTAATTTTGTTTTATAAGAAATCATCTTCGATTAATATAACATTTTGTATATATGATTTAAGAGTAAAATATTTTTAATTTAACGGTTGAATTTACAAAATTCACATTTAATATAAAGTTATACGTCATCTTGTAACTGATTTTGTCTAAAAAATAATAGATAATCATACCCTTAAATGATTTTTATTTTATATATTCTAATTTTATTTGTAATAATATGATTATATATTTAAATAATTTAATTTTAATAATTTTTTAAGTATATTTTTGTCTTTTCACTTAAAATATTTGAATTTCCGTATTTTAATTTGAATTAGTTTTTAAGTATATTTTTGTCTTTTTGTCTTAAATTTTTGAATTTCTATATTGTAATTTTAATAATTTTTTATTTCTATTATTTATTAATTCTTTTCTTTTTTAATGTTTTATAACATTATTAAAATTTTATATTTTTAATCTCTATAATTTTATCTTACTTTTTATTTTATAAATATAATTTGGATTATTCATTTTATAATTAAATTAATTTTTTTAAATTTTTTATTAGTTTACATTCTAAGGATGTATTGAAACCCCTCAATCTTTGATTATTAGATAGCAACAACATCAATGTTCTGATTATTAGACATTATGTTATAATTCTACTGATCGTACTATATGTTATTTTTAAATTTGGCATATTTTTTACATAAATAACTATTGGTATTAATCACGTAGGAGTGCATATAAATATTTTTTTTATTATAAATTAATGTCTTGCTCTTACAAAAAAAGAAAATGGGATTGATACTCAACAACAATATTATCATCACTTTTAAGTAATTTATAATTTTTTTTAAGTTTTTTTTTAGCGACCGAATTGAATTTCGTCACTAATTTTAACTAATATTTAGCAACCGAATAGAATTTCGTTGCTAATTTTAACTAATATTTAGCGACTGAATAGAATTCTATCGATAATTGTAACTAATATTTAGCGATCGAACTTAATTCCGTCACTAAAAAACTCAAAATTTTTGATTTAGCGACCGAATTCAATTCTGCCGCTAATTTTAACTAATATTTAGTGATCGATTTAATTCCGTCGCTAAAAAAATAAAAATTTCTGATTTAGTTATGAAATTAAATTTGTTCGCTAAATATTAGTTAAATTAGCGATGAAATTGAATTCGGTTGCTAAATTTAACTAATATTTAGCGACTGAATTCAATTCTGTCGCTAAATTTAACTACTATTTAGCGACTGAATTGAATTCGGTCTCTAAATTTATCTAATATTTAGCGACCGAATTCAATTTCGTCGCTAATTTTAACTAATATTTAGCGACCGAATTTAATTTCGTCGCTACAAAAATCAAAATTTCTTATTTAGCAACCAAACTAGCAATCGTCTAGCGACAACTTATTTTGGTCGCTAAATTAGTTGCTATTTTGATTATTCATAATCGCTCGCTAAATCAGTCGCTAAATAGCGACTGATAAATTTCGGTTACTATTTTGCAATTTTCTAGTAGTGTGCTAGAGATAGAGTAAATGTCATTGGTCTTTCTTAAGCTTTGGGTTTTAAAGCTGGTTTCTTGGTTAAACTATGCAAGAGATTGATAATTTAAGTTAGGACCTTAGATGCCAACTTGTAAGAGATTAGGGTTGGTTACTTTTGAGAGTGATTGATAAATTCTGAATAATAACTATTGTGAACTTAGTGATAAACATGAGAGGAAGGTTTAGTGAAGTCAAGCCCCAACAATTTATTAATATTGCATTAGAATCAAGTTTCGCACTCTAAGTGTTTACCAAAATACCAAAAAGAATTGTTATTGCTTGTTTACATTATTTACTGCAGCAAATAAAACTCTTATTGCTTTCTGGTAGCTTAATTAGTATAACAAGTGAAATTGCAAAGTGTTGCGCAAGTCCCTTGGGAGACGATACTCATACTCTCATTGAACTACTTATACGATTTGGTAGACTTTATATGGAGATAACAAATTTCACTTACTTGGAAACTTTGAAAACAAGTATTCTTTATGCCACTTCTAACTAAACCAAGTATTTTCTATGTCACTCCTAGCCAAAACGCAACCACACATTGTAGTCTTTAACTAGCCTCTTCAAGTTTACAAGAAAAAGAATTTTAGTGTTTACAAGTTAACTCTCATAGGGAGGTGTACCATCCCGGTCGGATTCCGACTGTACTTCTCGTTAGCAATAGATCGGCCATGATCCGGGCTTATCTCCCCCGATTAGGGGTTCACTTGGCTAAAATTCGAGTGGGTTCCCTGCATAAGACTGGTCGGTCGTTGGCCGATACCTCCCTTCTTGGCCAATACCCAACTAGTCTGATTCAACTTTCTTATGAGAACGTGCTCGACCAATACTCATCCGGTCTTTTCCACACTACCCGGTCGGGGGCCGACCTGACATCCCCATGTACGAGCTGCCCAACGGTAAACCCAAGACCCCACCTTTAATCACCAAATATCCTCCGAGTAAGAGCGGTTAATGAGATCCCCACATTCTCGGGGCCTAGGAGGCCCACAAACTAGGAACTATAAAACCTAAAGCCCTAGGGTTAAGACGACAGATTACACTTTTGAATGCTCTGGCTTTAAGGCTTAACCTAGGAAGAAACCCTAGTCCACCTTTTGGCCGGAACATTTTGGCGCCCACCGTGGGGCTACAGTAAAACTCTTCCTACGCCCCAAGCAATACAAAAAACCTACACTCTACTATGGCGAAAGGCGGCACATCCAACAGTGACTCACAACACCCTACCTTGGAGGAAATGATGGCATTGATCAATGGCTAAGGGAGAAGAATGCGTGATCCAGGGAGAGAGAGGAGGCTATTCAACGAGAAAACGAGGAGATTAGGAGGAGGGTGGATGAGATGCAAGCTATGATAACGGCCAACGCTAGGACGGTGGAGGAGGATGTTATGATGGAAGTCCCTAGGGATTTTCAACCTTTCTCGGAAGCCATAGAGGCCGAGACCATCCCGAGGGATCATCGGGTTCCCCAGGTCGAGCCTTTCGATGGAACTCAGGATCCCAGTCATCACTTCACGAATTTTCGTGCTCAAATGCTGATTTGTGGAGGGAGTATGGAAGTCCGCTACAAGATGTTCATGGGCACACTCAAAAAGGCAGCACTTGACTGGTTTAGTGGTCTCCCTGACCGATCAATCACCGACTTCAATGTCTTTAGTCGACTCTTCATGGAACAGTTCGCCGCTAACAAGAAGAAACCACCGATCACGTTGGACTTGTTCGACCTCAAGCAGCAATGCGAGGAGTCGCTGAAGGACTTTCTGCAAAGGTTCAACGAGGTCGCATTGAGGATAGCGTCATTGTATGAAAGGATGACAGTCATCGCATTCCAAAAGGGTCTAAGGTCTGGAGCTTTCGACATCGCGCTGGAGAGAGCGAATTGTCAAACGATGTCGGAGGTGAGAGTTTTCTCCCTGAGTCACATCAAGACGGAGGAAGGACAAATTAACAAAAGGGCAGTGGAAAACTAAGAAGCGGGGGAAAGCAACAAAGAGGGTAACAAACACCTCCTACCGCGCTCGGATTGGAGTAAGCGAACTGACTGTTACAGTATGAAGGAGGGTATATACCGACACACAGATCATGGTGGTCGGGCAAGGGGCGAGTTGGACATGACGCAACGAGGAAGAAAAGTTTACTCCACTCAACATCCCTAGGAGGCAGATACTTCATGATGTCAACAGTGCATCGCTGTTTGAATTTCCAGCAGCGACGGAGCGTCAGCTGGGTCCCTTCAAGACTGACTGGTGTGAGTTTCATAGGACTCATGGGCATTCCATGGAGAATTGTTTTGTCCTTGGAAGACAGATTGAACGCTTGATAAAGGAGGGACGCCTGAAAAAATTTGTGGCAAGCAAACAGGAAGAGGGCTCATCGGACAGGCGACTACGAAGGAGTAGCTCCTCATGAGGATGATCCTATCGTCATTTCGACGATAGTAATGGGCTATAATGTGAAGCGCATTGTGGTCGACCAGGGAAGCTCAACCAACATCCTCTTTTGGGAAGCTTTCATGGGAATGAAGATCCCCAATGACCGACTGATACCCTACGTGGGAACCCTAGTAGGTTTTGCAGGAGATCAGGTTATGGCCAGGGGGTATGTTGACCTAGAAATGACCTTCGGTCAGGGCTCGCAGATGAAAACAGTCACCATCCGGTACCTAGTGATGAATGCTCAATCGTCTTACAACATACTTATCAGCAGGCCCACGTTGAACAAAGTAGGGGCCATTGTGTCAACATCGCATCTGAAGGTGAAGTACCCATTGTCGAATGGGGATGTCGGAGTCCTCAAAGTAGATCAAGAGGTCTCCCGAACGTGTTACGCGGATAGTTTGAAGGCAAGAAGGCATTTATATTCCACACCAGCTGAAAAACACATTCATTCCATTGAGCTGGATCCTAGGATGGGACAGTTTGATCACCAACCCGCCCCTGCAGAAGATATCAAGGAAGTAGCAGTGATGGAAGGAAGAACGGTGAAGATCGGTACTTCTTTAACCCCGGAAAATGAAGAAAGGTTGGTCAAGGTTCTAAAAGAAAACGCGTCGGTATTTGCATGGCACTCCAGCGACATGCCTGGCGTTGACCCTGATTTCCTGTGCCATAAGCTAGCTATAGAACCTAATGCAAAAGCAGTAATCCAAAAGAGAAGGAAGTTTGGGGAGGAGAAACGAACGGCCATTGCGGAAGAAACGAATAAATTAGTAAGGGTAGGACATGTACGAGAAATCCAGTATCTGACCTGGTTGGCGAATGTGGTAATGGTTCACAAGAATAATGGAAAGTGGAGGATGTGTATAGACTTCACTGATCTTAATAAGGCTTGCCCAAAGGACTCGTACTCGCTGCCCAACATAGACTATTTGGTTGATGGAGCGTCGGGATACGAGTTATTGAGTTTCATGGATGCCTACTCGGAATACAACCAGATCCTCATGCATTCAGCAAATGAAGACAAGACAGCCTTCATAGTAGATCAAGCCTATTTTTGTTAAAGGGTTATGCCTTTCGGTCTAAAGAATGCGGGGGCGGCTTATCAATGATTGATGGATAAGATCTTAGTGAGTCAGCTGGGTCGGAATGTGAAAGCTTATGTGGACGACATGGTGGCGAAGTCGACAAGCACCGATCGACATTTTGACGACTTGCAGGAACTATTTGACACTATCGATAAGTACCAACTCAAGTTGAATCCCGAAAAGTGCTCTTTCGGGGGTCCAAGCAGGAAAATTCCTTGGATTTCTACTAACTCATCGTGGCATCGAAGCAAACCCCAACAAGTGCTCGGCCATCATCAATATGAGGAGCCCATCTATGGTGAAGGAGGTTCAACAACTAGTGGGAAGGATGACTTCCCTGTCTCGTTTTCTGTCAAGGGCAGCTGATAAGGTGTTACCGCTTTTCCAATGTCTGAAGAAGAATGATCATTTCACTTGGACGACTGAGTGTGAAGAAGCTTTCACGGAACTCAAGAGGTCACTGGTGTCGTCGCCGATCTTGATAAAACCACGACCGAACCTCCCCTTGTTGGTTTACATATCGGCATCCGACTGAGCTGTCAGTTCAGTTCTGGTACAAGAACAAGAAGCCTCTCAAGTTCCTATTTACTTCGTGGGTAAGGTCTTACAGGGAGCAGAGAGGAGATACCAGAAGATTGAAAAGTTGGCCCTTACGATACTAGTTATCACGAGGAAGTTGAGACACTACTTCTAGAGCTACGAGGTGGTTATCTAAACTAACCATCCGATTCGGCAAGTCTTACAGAAACCCGACCTGGCAGGCCGAATGATGAAGTGGTCGGTCGAGTTATCAGAGTTCTCCATCAAGTATGAGCCGAGAGGACCAATCAAGGCTCAAGTCTTAGCCGACTTCCTGATGGAATTGACCCCTCTTGTTGAGGAGGGCAGCGTCGGAGAAACCTAATGGATTCTATCAGTGGATGATACTTCGAATCTAGGAGGAAGTGGAGCTGGGATCATCTTGGAGGGTCCGGGGGGAATATTACTGGAGCAGTCATTAAGATTCGAATTCCGGGGGAGCAATAATCAAGCCGAGTACGAAGCGTTGTTAGCAGGA